TAAATACCGGTATTAGAAACAGTACGTAATATCTCTTCCTCATCAATAATTCTGGAACTGTACAGTGAAATAGCTCTATCTAGGAAACCGTTCAGAATAGTGCACATATGCATATACAATTTTTTACTTAGAATGGCCGCTACTATGACCTCCCAGAATATTGACATTTCCAAGTGGGACACACTGTATATAAACATTTTTATACTATGAAATCTGGATGTAACGCCGTATTGTTTGGTATATAGACACAAACTTTCGGAAGAAGTTACTATTTCAGTTTTCAGGTCAAGAACGTGAGATAAGAGCAGGTTCCTTTAAAACGTTGGTGCATATTTACCAAACTACATGGCGTCACATCCAAAAATACTGTAACCGTCTTCGATGCAACCTTATACGCCAAATCCTTCATTTACTAACCTTCCTGCATAACTTGACTCACAAAATTACATTTTAGGATATCACAAAAATTGATCCAATAATTACGTATTATTATAATAAAACTTCTTCTAAAACACTATGAATAACACAGCATTAGAATCACAGAATTAACTGCTTACACCGGTAGGTCTAATACAGAGAATGGCCTTACTTCGCGACGCCTTTGATATTAGGCCTATGACGTATAAACGCCCTGCGCATTGCAGACAAGAAAACGATTCTAAAAGCAAGTTCTTGACTTCATACCCTGATCGCTTTGACTACCTGATGAAAAATTAGGGTAGTCATGGAGAATGGAGGAGCTGGCTTAACAAAAAGAAGACGCCTGTGGCTTTAAATAGTCTGGCATCTGAAGATCGATTTCCTCCAATGACCGGTTAGACCAGGGGTGGACAAAAGACGTCTCGACAACATTCTAAATCCAAATCACAACAATAAAAAATGAGAAGTTGTCCCTGTGCTTAACTAATTAAGCATCACGCCATGAAGACGCATTGGGAGGGGTGACTGTATACAAGGGGGTCCAAAAAAATGTACTCACTCTGTGATAGTCATTATCTTTGGAACAAAATGACATGTAGTTACAATTCTTGCGCGGCAGTGTAGTGTAATGTTTTCTCAACAGATGGCAAAGGTCACATGAGTCACGTGAATGTCGTTCCGCATGCGCGCTGCGAGCAGAAGACAGCAGCAACAATGGTCGAAAGGCAACCCAAGGCTGTATTGAAGTGGTACTGGAAGTACAAAAACATTAAAGAGGTACAACAATGGCAGAATTAGTTTGGAACTCAGCCACCAACACGTCGAACAATTGTCCGTATTCGGGATAAATTTGAAGCCGACGGTACTGTTCATGATGTGCATAAGCAAAGATCTGGTCGACCCCGGATAGTAACAAGTCCAGCTTCCAGTGCTGTGGTGTATATCGATATGCTTCAGACATCGATTTTCCCTGCCATTCGAGAGCTGTTTGGAGATGAGAGATTTTACCTGCAAGAAGATGGTGCTCCACCTCACTACCATCGATATGTCAGGGCGTACTTGGATGACACTCTACCTGGACGATGGATAGGTCGAAGAGGTGCTATTGAGTACTCACCACAGTCTCCAGACCTAACACCTCTCGACTTCCAACTATGGGGAACCTTGAAGGCTGAAGTTTGACAAAAGCCAACTACACTGAACGCGCTACGAGAAACCGTCGAAGCGTCGTGTGCAGCCATCACACCGAACACAATGACAGCCGTAGTTCGCTCAGCAGTTCGGCGGCATCGACGCTGTTTAGCCGCTGATAGTTGTCACTTCGAACACATACAATGACTCTCTCTCTCTCTCTCTCTCCGCGCAAGAATTGTAACTAGATGTCATTTCGTTCCAAAGATATTGACTACCAAAGAGTGAGTACATTTTTTTGGACCCCTCTGTATATCCAAGTATTCTTGACCTCTGCACTAATCACAAATGAGTAGTCAGCTTCACGTCCACGCCGTTTTACCATCGATACGCATTGGATAGGTTAGGTTAGGTTAGGCTAGGTGAGCCCCGGAACCAGTCTGGACGATGTGGAGAAAACTCTTTCCCCTACCAGGACTCGAACTCCGATTTCTCGGCCGTCCAGCCCGTAGCCAGTCGCTGCACCAACTGTTATTCACGGTAATACATATCGAAATTGCACAAGAACACACAGAAACTGCGTTTTTCGTGTTTTGTTTGGGGGTGGGGCATGTCATTCAGTTGCGCTTACACAAAATTCACGATTTCAAGGCACATACCAGTAAATACCGGCCCCCTTACACACAGACACACACAGACACTGCAGGTCTTCTCAGTCGAGGCCTTTTCTCCTGTTTGTGCTCAGTTATTTCTGTGTCAGACTCTTTTAGAATAAAGAAGCGTCAGAGGATGTACCATGTAAAATGCAGCCAAACTATGACAGTGTATGGAATCTTACAGGTGACATCAACATAACAAGACGGACGAGCTGTATGTTTCTTCAGTGTTGCAGGACATACCACATACAGCGCTGCACATATCTGCAAATAAATTCTTCCTGATCCCCAAGATTTTGTTATCAGTCAGAGCACTGTGGCTTTATTCTGTGTAACTCGTCAGCGTACGCACTCTTAAATATTTTTGAAGAGCAGCAAACGATTCTGAGTAATGTCTGGGAATGAACACACGTACCACTCATGAATGCACTTCCTGGTCACACAGAGATTCTGAGCAACAGGCGACAATAGCAGCCTAGCAACCATAATGTCATTAACTGCAGTGTCACATGCAAAGTTAGGAGATGCCATTACACGGGGGGACAGCTTCCGACTTCATTTCTGTACCATAAAAGTACTATGCTACAAGCTGGAAGGTCGCGGGTTCGAGTCCCAATGAGATGGATTTCTTTTGATGGACCTAATCCTTCCGGCCGCACTATTTCCTTGGGGCCATGTCAGTCTCTAATAGAATTGAGTACCAGGAATCCTGGGGGTAAAGGGCGGCTGGTATGTAAGGCTGACAACCTTACCGCCGACTGTCTAGAGAAAATGTGGAAGCCTCGACATCTCACAATCCTATGGGCCTCTGTGGCCTATTACGGGGATAGTTTACCTTTTTTTAGCTTTTATCATAAAAGTAAAGAAGCAAAAATATGTACAGATACCCCTGTAACAGGCCGTGGAGGCCCACAGGGTTGTCAGACGTCGAGGCTCCCATATTTTCTAGATAATCGGCTCATAGATGGTGGTGAGGTTGTCAGCCCTACGCACTGACTGCCCTTTACCCCCCAGGAAGATTCCTGGTACTCATTTCTGTTAGAGGCTGATTCGACCCCAGGGCCATAGTGAGGCTCAAAGTATTAGTTCAACTGAAAAATCCAATAACCTCAACAGGAATCGAACACATAACCTTATGGCTTGTAGCATAGTGCCTCAACTAACTACACTATCACGTGTCTCAGTTTCTGTACAATAGCACACAATTGTTTGGGTTGCTTTTAAATGGTACACCCTGTATGAATATATGTTTGCAACATAACATAAACTAATATGAACAAAACATTAACCTGTCCTAACCAAACACATTAGAGAATAAACTGCAACTGGTTCTTACAATGGTGTATACCACTCAGAATTATGTGGTTTTAGCACTTTGTCCACCACCGCCCAGTATTCTAGAAACCAGTCATTCAGTCATTAATGACAGCTCTTTCTAAGGGACCCAACATAATGCCTCTCCCCTCTCGTGAGGATGGAAACAGATCCAGTTTCCAAAAAGTTGTGTTCTCTAGTCTATAGGATACTGGATTATGGACAAAGTCCAAGATAAACATTAATTCTGAAAATTACAGAATGTGTGTCCCCAGGATTGTGACTGTGTAGTAATGTACATGGGTCATTTCATAAATAATCCATAGGTTGGCAACACTGCGGATTAGATGACACAACAGTGAGCCTCACGTCAGTTACAGTTCAGGGCTTGAGAAAGAAGCACGTTATTTTGTTTCATTTATAATATATTCTGTTTTTAAATAACGTGAGTTAGAAATGGAGCCTGCACAGTTCTCGGGTATTGTGATTGTTGAAGATCAAAGGTCATACATTAAGATTGAAACTTTACATGGAAAAAACCCAACAGAAATCCACAGACTTTCAACCGGAGCTGAAATCACAGTCCAACGAGTGGAGAGGTCCCATCTTCCCCACGACCAAAAAAATGTTGATGATCTCAATCAAAAGTCAAACAAATTATGATCTTTGCTTATGATCACCAAGGAATCATCATGACAGACAGAGTTCCATGGGGGGAAAAGTGTCACAGCAGTTTATTATCGTGACTTTATGCAAAATCTGCGCAGAAAAATGCACAAAAACCGACCTCACTTGCTCAAGGCTGGGCCGATCATTCTCCATGGCAACGCTCGCCCGCACATTGGCAATGTCGTAACAGAAAAGCTGTGCCAATACAGTTGGGAGGTGTTGCTTCATGCTCCCTACATCTCAGACATGAGTCCACCAGACTTCAACTTATTCCCAAAGTTGAAACAACCTATGCGAGGCCATCGTTTTCCCTCTCTGGAAGATCTTTCTGCTGCAGTACCCAAGCCTTCAACAGATAAACAAAGCTGGTGTCCTGGATGGAATAGTAAAGCTTTCCACACGTTGGGCCTCGGTCCTTGAGAAGCAGGGGGACTATATTGAAGAACTGTAAAGAGATATTAAAAAGAAAACAAACATGGACATAAAAAATTGTGTGCATTATTTCTGAAATGACCTACATAGGTGCATTCTGTTTTGGAGAAACATCCTCCATCCATCATCAGGCTTGAAATGTGTAAGTTCAGAAACAGTATTGGTTTCCCAGAGTTATAGGGTACTTCTAAGGAGAGTGGGCATCACACCCAAGGGGAAAGGGTAAAGAAGGAAACCAGTCTGAGCTAGAAGAAATATTGTGAAAAAATCAGGGGGGGGGACAGCCCTCATGAGAAGCACAATGGATTGTCATTACAGGTGGAAAAGGGGCTTGGGAATCACAGAGGCAGACGTAGTCTTCGAACTGAAAAAACAGGCTTTTAGTTTTTATAATTTATTAACAAGTTGTCACACTCACAGAAAAATGAACTATACAATACACTTTGCTTACCTACATACAGTTGCATTGCACAACACGTCAATTTCTTTTTAATTACCTTGATTATTTTATACATCAAATTCAACTCCAATGTTGTAACCATGATATCCTGCAGTTATGTCTCAACGTTATGCTCCAGTCTTCATACAGAACATTCCTGTTCTATTCGCCAACATAAACAAAAAATAAACATTGACGTCTGTCACATAATTCAGGAGGGACCCAGTGAATTTGAGAACCAAACCACATATCTATATGTTACAACTGAGCACAGCTTGATTATTCTGCTATGACCTGTAAAACATACAAGCTGATAGTGACAGTTCAGCCTGTTGAACTGTAGGACACCAAAGAAGAGGGGTAATATCGCCTAATACAATTATCTAAGGGCAGACAGAACTGTACACTTCCGAAGTTTTAAGTTTCATAAAACTTGAGATAAAGGTTTTTATAAACATATGAAACATTTATCCCTCAACTTTGGATTCCGTAAGTTACCTCATTATTAACTATTCTGGCATGAATCTTCACTGCACATCTCGTATCAAAACTAAAGAACTTAGAAAAATACACAAAGCAGTTTCATCCGGCAAGGAGAGCAGTTGTGGGTTCCAAGGAGGCTATATATAATAAAACCTATTGCAAGATGAGAGTTTGACATCTTCTACAACATTCCAAAGCCCTTTGAATAGTTAATTGCTTTCATGAGCCTGTCATTCAGCTTTTCTTTACTTTCATATTCTGGCAGCAGAAGAACATTGAAACAGGTGTGAGCAGTTGGTAATCTGAAAGAAACAAAAAATGAACATAAAATTTCAGACAGTTACACAATATACTTAACCCTTCACAGATGGCATGAAAAATCATATCTTTCTTCCCTTTCTTTATCCTCTTGTACTTTTATCTCCTTTCCTCCACTATTTCTTTCCCATTCCTGCCTATCATTATTCCCCTTCCAACTTCCAGGTAATGACAGAATATTTAGGTGTTTACTCATATCTTAACTAGGGCAAAAGATTTTTAAATGTAAGATCACGCTGATGTCCCCCTGAATGAGACACAAATTTGTGATTATTTATAAGGAGACTGATGTTATCTTCAACCAATCTAATTCCACTTGCCAGCTGAGTAAATATGGTCTGTAGGCAAGCACAAAATATTTCCTTTAATTACGCTGGTTACATAACATACCGATACTTTACCAAACACTATTTGATATTCCGCCCCTAAAACATCCTTTGGATTAGTCACGTTCTGGACTCTGTCCATGATCCCGCATTCTAAAGAACATGTTTCGAAAACATAATCTGTTTCCGCCCTCAGATAAAAGGGGTGGAAGCACCTATTTTGTTGTGTTCATCAATCACAAGATACATCCCAAAACTCTGCAATCCACTGTGTTATACACCAACATCAAAACCATTCAGAACTGACCAATAAGGGATAGTCTTACGTTTCTGAAAAACGAAATGCGAACGGTACCAGCTGTAAACAAAGATCAGAATCGCCACCCATCCCTGCTGACTGCAATGAAGAAACAAATATTTTCATGTGCCATGACATTCCAAATAAGATCTTACGGCCACAATGCAAGTACAAACCTGTCAGAATCTGGACCATTTCTTGCTATGATCAACTTGAGCTTACTCAGACCACCCACAGGAACACGATCGCTACCAGTAGCAAATTGCAGCAATTTCCTCTTTGATTCAAGAGACATCTTATGAACAATCTCCCAGAAGTTTCGGATGGTGGGACTGTCTAATGTGTAGCCACCGTCATACTCTGTTGCCTCTTCCAGTTCGTTGAAGTCAAAGTTCTTAATTAAAAAAGAAACAATATGGGTATTACACTGATTCATGTCTATTGCTTCTCATGCGATTTGCCACCTTTGGGAAGGAGGAGTGTAGGAGACGGGTGGAGTTAAAACAGTGTTCCAAAACAACATGTTCGGACAGTACAGAAAATATTGTCTTCTCGGATGTGACAGTTTCTTTTAAAGTCACTAGCAAATGCATTTTGGCTAGCCTCTATAATCACAGTACAGAATATGGAACAGACAATGGACATTTGAAGATTGCACCTAAAGGGAAAACCACGGATGTCTGGGAAAAAAGTTTACATACACAAAATTAATAAAGATTAACAAAAATGAAAAACATACAAATAAAAACATACTTTTTGAACTTGCTCTAGATAAGAGTTAAACATCAAGAGGGGAGGGGGTTGCAGGAAAGTACAAAACGGTAAATTTTCCTTGTGCTTAATTAATTAAGCACTATGCCATAGAGGCATATGGGGGAGTGGATGTATAGACCCACATTTTCTTGACTTTGGCACTAGTTGGAAGTGAGTGGTTAGCTTCAAGCCCCTGCCACTTTACCCCCAGAGGCTACCCATTGGATAGGAGCCTGGCTGTGCCCCAGTGCCAGTCTGGATGACATGGAGAAGAGAAAAATCTTGTCCCTACTGGGACTCAAAACTCTGGCCCCTCAGTTGTCTAGCCTGTAGACAGGACATTACAAATCATACAAAATACAGCATTTTACATACCATGATCTAACTGCCACTCAAGATGGTTAACGAGTTGAAATACACCTACTAGTGAATTTAAAAGAAACTATCATGATAAATGTAGTCAGTAAATTACAGGAATTAATCTTCGTAAAAAACATCATGAACACAAACCAAACAAGTCTCTCCAAATGACGGTAATGAGCTATTGGGCTATATGACGTAACACACTGGAAGACAGCAAGTCTTCATAGTCACTGCTGTGAGAACCTTAAATCTAAGCCAATATTAAATGGAACTACATTTCAGGGGAACTTACCTTACTCCCACAAACCAACTGTTCTACTTCCTCAGGCCTGAAGAGAAGATGGAGTGGGGATTCATCTGTTACCATCTGGAAGCCACGTCTGAAAGCTCTAAACTGCTTTTCTACTGACTTGTTCAAAAGGAAATCTGCATATAAGTCTATAAATTCCTGAAACAAGAACCACAATCACCAACAATTACTTTACATACATCACTGCTGATTTACTGCCATGTATAAAACAATACAGACTTCAAGGAAAGTTTTCTGAAAGCTATATGTAACTACTGTGGGGCACGCCATAGCATAGTTGGTTGACGCACTATTCTACGGGCTGGAAGGTTGTGGGTTTGAGCCTTCCAGTCACACTATGGCCTTAAGGTCGACTCAGCCTCTAACAGAAATGAGTACCAGGAATCTTCCTAGGGGTAACGAATAGCTGACGTACTGCCTCGCTGTACTCCCATTCTTTCCGCCAGTATTTGACGAATGCAAGATATCTGATCAGTAGTTCATCTATGTCTAAACCCAAACTGATGATCCCCAATCATTTCATCTATATATGGACTTAACCTTGAGAGTAGAATATTGGATAAAATTTTGTATGAAATTGACAGCAGTGATATCCCACGATAATTAATACACTCAGTTTTGTCAACTTTTTTCTGAACTGGTACACTAACAGACTGCTTCCACTGATGAGGCAATTTTTCCTGATGCCAAATAAAATTAGCTTGTGGATCTTAGAACATAATATTTCACCTCCTGCTTGAATAAGTTCTGCTGGAATTTGATCACTACCTAGTGATTTATAATTTTTCAACTTCACAATAGCAATTTCAACCTGAGAAGGGGGTACTAACGGCTCAGCTGTATGTACTTCTGTCTGCCTAACATCACTGACCCTATGTACATTCAATAACTGAGTAGTAGTTGTTCCACCTATTCAAAATGTTGTGGGAATCTGCAAGCAGATCACCATTCTCATCCTTCACTAAGTTACTTGTAGGCTGGTAACCTCTCTTAGTCATTTATTCCCTTATACAGATCACTAACGTTCTTGTTCTTACTGTTCATTGCAAAAGGTAAGGAAAGCTATCCCTGTAACAGGCCGTGGAGGCCCATAGGGTTGTGAGACATAGAGGCTCCCACACTTTCTTGATGACTGGCTCACATATTGCAGTAAGGTTGTCAGCCATACATGCCAGCTGCCCTTTACCCCACAGGAATATTCCTGGTACTCATTTCTGTTAGAGGATGAGTCAATCCCAGGGCCACAGTGCAGCTGGAAGGATTAGGTCAGATGAAAAATACAATGAACTCATCAGATATCTAACCTACGACCTTCTGGCTTGTAGCACACTGCGTTAACCAAATATGCTACCTCATGCGCAATCCTACTGTCCACAAAATTTGGGAGCCCTAACATCTCACAACCCTATAGGCCTCCATAGCCTGTTACAGGGACAGTTTTACTTTACAAAAGAATTAGACTCTGTAGGGAAGTGTTTATGAGTCTGTCATTTTAATGGAAACCAAATGTGAACTAATCCCAGGTAGTCATGATAGGACCTGCATATGGCAGCAATAAATGTTAATGGTTTCAGTCAGTATTATAGTGCTGTCAGTTGGTATTGCACTGCCGATCTTTACAGAAAAATTATATCTTTAGAGTATTATCATTATGTTTATTCTATAGAGCCATTTATCTAGATTTATCAAGTTCACAGCATGTACAGTCACTGGAATCATGATATAGAAGTGCTCCTCACAACTTGTAACACGTATCATCTGACGGATTATCCATGGAAATCATAGCCAGAGATGGAAAATGAATAGATATTCCCACTAAATTTCAATGTACAAATAAAATTACTTCAAATAATTGGTTGTTTTGGGGTCCAACGCTAGTTACCTCACCTTCTTGTTGTCCTGGCACACATAAATTTGGTCACCTCCTTCCTTCAACTCATGAAAGAACGTTGTACCAAAAACATCTTGGTAGCAGATACGGAATGTCTGCACAAAGGTTTCTTCCATGTCATCTGCCTCATATTCTAGCATGCCTTTCAGTCCAGTGAACAGGGTCTGAAAAGAAAAAATCATGACACTTACTGTCTACTGGGATGTGACACCATGTAGTTTTGTAGACATCTATCAACATTTTTTAAGATCCTGCTACTTCCATTATCAGGGATAGAAAAAGATACAGCTATCCCTGTAACATGATATGGAGGCCCATAGGGTTGGAAGACGTCAAGGCTCCCACATTCTCTTGAAAATCAGCTCATAGGCAGCGGTGAGGTCATCAGCCTTACACGCTGAATCGACCCCACGGCCATAGTGCAGCTGGAATCACTAGGTCAACCGTAAAATCCAGTGACCTCATCAGGAATCAAAACCGTAACCTTCTAGTTTGTAGCATAGTGCCCCCCCACCCTTGCCATGATATAAGAGCCTTTTTACCTGAAGATGGGTGCTGAATGCTCCCAAGAAATGGTGATTAGTATCTACCAGACTACTTGGAATCACAGCCCAGAAGAAAATAATCTTCATACTCAGCACCACAAGAACTTCAAAATCAACAGTATGACCTCACAACAGTCAATTATAGCACACAATTTACTTCTAAGCCTTACTTGATTCCAGTCTTCAAGATCATAGAAAGTGCCCTTCTTTCCCATGAGTTTCCGATAAACCACCATCGGAAAATGGACATCCAAGATAATATTGTTATAAATTGCTAGACCTAGTACAATTCCAATTAGTGTAAACTGAGCATCACTTTCAAAGGAAGTTGGATTAAACCATACAGTCTGTGTTTCATTTTGAAATGTGAACATTCCTGGAAGAAAACAGTAAACGGATTAGTTACACATTAAACAGGAAGAACAGAAATATAACACTGTACGCCATCTCAAATATTCTGATGTTATAATTATAGGGTGCGTTATCTGAGAGCTTCATACGTGCTCTTTAGTCACTTGTCTCCACTCTTCTGTCTGGGCAGCTAAACAGTTTGCCATAAACTCCCAAAGCTTACAATAATGTTACAAAGGCTACAACTTTCTTTCCTTTTTTGGTGCTACAGCCCCAATCTGGGCCCTGGCCTACCTCCTTGAAACTCTCCATTTCACTTTGATTTACTAGATCTTAGACAGTCGGTAGGACTCCTTTGGTGGGTGATCAGCTTGTCGTAAGGCCTCTACCTGTACACAAACACAGGAGAACCCACACACACACACAAACACTAAACATCCATGCCCTGAATGGGATTTGAACCCACGATTCCGGCTTCCAAGCGAGCGAAGGGAGTGCATACCTTAGACCGCTCGGCTACCATGACTGGTACAAAGGCTACACCATTCTTATATTTAATCAGCACCAGTTTAATATTAATGCAACATATACTGACTGAGGTGTATTCTACTTTCAGTTCCATGTGTAACGACACACCAACTAAAAACAATTACTCTTAATTTCCTCTGTGTAATAACTGGCACACGTCACTAAAACTTACCATAATCAGGGTTGAAGATTTCTTCAACAATTAACTGAAAAAATTCCTTTGACACACCACCCTCATCAATTCCTTGCTCGCCTTCAAATTCAACGACCAACTGTTTTTTTAAATCTTTCGGATTTTCCATTGCTACCATCTCCAGCTGAGACAAAGAAAACACAATTTTAACATACAACAGGAAAACATGCTATCAACACAGTCATGAACTCTGAGGTTTAAAATTTACCATCTTACTGCGAAAGTAAAATGGAGCATACCCTCTTATTAGACAGACGGTAGCAAGTATGAGTGCAAGCAGGAAATATAATTCAATAAAAAGGTTACAGTATTCTCGGATGTATGACTTCACTGCGGAAACCTTGATACTCAGGCAGCGTGCTCCTCTAAAAAGCTGATAATGATCTACCAGGCTACATTGTGCAAGAGTCAGACCCTCTCTCCTCGTAGTGATTTTGGTAATTTTCATTTAATATTTTAGTACGTAATTCTCTGGTAAAAAAAAGATAAAGCTATCCCTGTACAGGCCACGAAGGCCCATGTTGTGACACATTGAGGCTCGCACATTTTCTAGACAATCAGCTCACAGATGGTGATGAGCTTGTCAGCCTTACTTGCCAGCCGCCCTTTACTGCCAGGAAGATTCCTGGTACTCATTTCTGTTAAGAAGCTGAGTCTACCCCAAGGACATAGTGTGGTTGGAAGGATCAGGTCAATTGTAAAATCCAATTACCTCATCGGGAATTGAACCCACAACCTTCCAGCTTGTAGCAGTACCTCAACCAACTACGCTACTGCATGCCCCTACATAATTCTCCAAAATGCAAGAAATGTAAGGTTCTCGTAACAGTGCATATGAAGACTATGTGATCTTTCGGGATAAGAAGCAGTGTAACTTCATAGCTCGACCCTTCCGATGAGTTAGCAAGTTCCTCCAAGACATTAGCAAGACTACACAGTATCACACCATACAACACAGAAATCCTCATAGTAGTTTCTACGGTAAGACCCTTATATCTTACAAAGAAATTTAATAAATTCTTTGCCTGCGGAAGGTATGATGTAACCTCAAAACATATTTTAGACAAAATTCTAGTTAGCTGGAAGTAACAGAGAATGTCCAAAACATACCTCTACCAGAGCATCATCTATGATGTGATCTCTTCTAACTTTTAGCCGGAGGTATGGATTTGTCGGCTGTCCAACTACAGAATGGAAGAAACTCATCCTCCTCTCGCTGTACATTCGTATTCTATTGTCATAATACAGCCCCAATGTCTTCGTTGCGGGTGTTAAAATGAATGCGTAGTTCATGAAGCTGAACTTTCTTGTTTCTGGTGAAGATGATGTTGGAGATTCGCTCCTATAGTATGCAAAGTCCTTGTCCATCTCGATCGCATCACTAAGGGGCTCATTGTAGAATTCAGTGAATGGGAGGTACGGACACCGTGAGTCGAGAACATTAACTTGTAGTAATTCTCCCAATGGATCTCCATGCTGTGGTGGCGGAGGATTCTTGTTGCCAGAGATATTACTTAGCAGAGAGTCATCTGTAGGAACACTATTGTCTTCCTGTCGTAGTTCTGGTGGATCCAATTCCCCCGCCAAAATATTGGCATAATATACTACCTTTAAACATAACAGAATACATTAAAACTTTCACATGCATCAAGGCATCATCCTATGAAAAACTAAATGGGGTGTGGAGGTAAGTCTCCATCCATTCAAGGCTTTTAATTATTTATACATAGTTTAGGAAAGCTGTTCGTAACTAAGACTATACACTACTGAATGATTAGTCAATAACGGATCGCAAGGGACATGGCATTAAATGGTTATAGCCTAATTTAAGGTACTATCCTTGCATCTGCCTGGAGGGACTGACGAAAAACCACAAGAAATCTCAGTCAGTGCAGCTGGTGTTAAAGCCAAGATCTGAACTGGGAACCTCTTGATTAGACGACAATAACAAGTTATCTAAAGGCTGCTTCCCTTTCCATCAATTGACATAAGCAGTATTTGTCATCCGTGCAGTAAGCACAGCAGGTAAGGTACTTAAATTAACATATTCCAGATTTCCGAATTACAGGTCATCTAAAAATTTAAATTCATACCTGATATCCGGAGTATTGGCAGAATTCAGTTATTAATAATAATAATAATAATAATTATTATTATTATTATTATTAATAACTGAATTCTGCCAATACTCCGGATATCAGGTATGGCAGTGCTACTACAATAAGACCACAGACAAATAACACACATAAACACGTTAAAAAAAACAGCACACAAGACAAGAGAAAAATAAAATAATTCTAAGCAGTCTCAATTTCTTTCTACTTTAGGTAGTTATGTAATATCAGTAAGTGACCCAAGTAAATAAAATAGTCACCACCACGTTGTCTGCCAAACTACTGCTGCCAACCTTAGAAGTTTATTTGTAAAAACAAGGTGCAAAGCCTAATTTTAGAATTTGCCTCCAACAAGTTCACAAAGTTAGGCCTTTGGTTTTGTTTTTAAAATATCTAAAATCCTTCTAAGGTTATGTTTCAGGTTCTCTTTCTACAAATAAAGTGCCAACTTTAGTGGACAGAGGGCGTTGCATGGTCAGCGTAACGGATCGGCTGTTAATCTCAGTTTTCTAGACCAGAGCCGCTATTTCCTTGAAATAGCTCCTCAATTATCCTCACAAGGCTGATTGGACCCCATTCCGGACCCACCACTTCTCAGAAAATCTGGTAGCATCAGGAATCTAACCCAGACCTCTGGATCTGTAGGCAGGAACTCTGACCACTAGACCACAGAGGTGGTCTCTAACTTCGCCAACTAGCAGCAGTCGCTTGGTCAGTACAGTTCTCTTGCAGACTCAAGCCACGGAGTATGTTTTTTTTTTCTACAAATGAACTTCTACAGTTGAAGCGGTAACACGACGGACAACATGGCAACGAAGTTTTGAAGTTACATAGATCACCCATCAATATCTAAGTACCTAATTTAAGTGGCCTCCGTAGTCTAGGGGTAACGTTCCCACCTCATGACTCAAGGTACGCAGGTTCAAACCTGGCAGAGGTCGTGGAATTTTTAAGGGCGGAAAAATTCAGGGAACAAGTCATCCAGGAGGGACTTTAAGCCGTGGGTCCCATGTTGTAGATTTACAGCAAGTAAAAGTTCCTCATGTCTCTAGGAGACCTCTGAGCAAAATTAGGTAAAAAGTTTCCCGCCCAAGTAGTTTCCAATGCCTCCGCTAGATGGGGGAAGTATCGGGTACCTCTGCCAGTAGAGGGGCCGAACTCGCTGGCTGAACGGGGCTGATAGCAAGCACCAGTATTGGAAGGGTATGGCGACTGGAAGAATACCAAAGGGGGACGTACAATAGATCAACAACTGGTCGCGGTGCGTGGGGAAACCCACCCCCTCCAATAATGAATGAATGAATGAATGAATAAGTACCTAATTTTAGATTTATCTTCAGTAAGTGAATGCCATACCTTCATTAGTTTTGTAGGTGCCGTGATTGTTTCTTCATCCTGCACACAATAGTCTCGTGAGAACTGCCCAGAGATGACTTTCAGCGTGATGAGCTGCTGCAAGGCTTCAAGCATCCCTTTAAGACGTGTGCGACAATGACGAGCCCATATCTGAGCAAGACGAGCCTGCAATCTCAATGGGAGATGTGATGCAGCCTTGCATACCAGTGGCAATGCCATCTCCAGGTACTCCGATGAACCTAGAGCAGGGATCTCCAACACAATCACAAACACATTCAATACATCTTCAGCATTATCATTCTTCGCACCACGTCCAAACAATCGAAGGTCCAGCTCCAAGTTCCCAGATAGTGTTCTGAGTGCATGCACCAAAGCACTCTCAAAAACACTCCCAGGCACCTCAAAAAGTGCTTTATATGCACGTCGGAGTGACGGAATATCTACCCTTAGGTCATCAGAGGGACTCGTACTCTTCCGACTTTGACATCTTTCTGAGCATTCACCTTCCTCCTGATTCACTTCCTGACTATCTTCATCTTTATCCAGATCTCCTTCCATTGTTCTTACATCTTCTTTCTTCAAATTCTTCAAGTCTTTGGGAGCTTTGTCTAACATGGCATCAATTGATGAGCCTGCATGTATTAGGAAACTCTGACTCAGTGAATCCGCACTCGAATACACTTCGCCCAATGTCCGTATCAATAACGAATACGAGCTCTCTTGCTTACATGTCTCCAGTATTTTTAGAAGTTTCTCTTCTGTAATATATGGGACCTCTTTACCTAAACATGACATAAAATTGCAATTATAATAAAATAACCTACAGAAGGAAAACTAAAATGGAATGTGTAATAAATAACATTATATAAAATTATAGTTTATGTAGGCATTGTGCCAGGCACCGTCTCCCTTGTCCCCCAACCTCTTGTCACAGAAATGTGATGTCATGGAGCACAGCTGCACAGTAGCTTGTGCAATGTGAAAGTGTGAACAAAGGGGAACTTTCTGTAAGTTGCTGCCAAATTCAGAAGCTAACTCCTAAGGCTAACCTTAGAATGTCTTCATTATTTTTAAAGATCTTGCACAAGCCAGGGCTCTTAAGGTTTAACCTACCTTGTGAAGAATTTGTTGTGGACTGACCATCGAGCTTTGAATTCTTTGGAATGCCAGACTCAGGTTCTGGTGTATTACATGTCGACGGAATTTTTGATGAACCAAGTCTTGAATTACCATCATTCGATCTTCCATTTTCATTATTCTTACTTCTTAAATCTGACTGAGTTCTGGCAACTTTAGTTGGCTGTGCATCACAAAGCTTAGCTTCCTGGGAGAAAAGCTGGATGGCTTGTGCAGCAGCTTGGTTTGGGGTCAGATTCTTTACCTGAAATAAATATACAAAATTAAGAACATACAAATGTAACACTATACTTAATTATTCTCAACAGCCAATATAAAAACAAATCTTACTTTTCCACTAGATGCACAGTACTCATTATCACAGTTGGAGTTGCCACAACCATCGATCAGCTGGTAGAAGTACCGCTCAATTAATTTCTTGGCAGCTGCCCTTTTCATCGTATCAGTTTCTACTGGTAAACCACTATTTGGTGAAGGAGACAGCTCTGGTGATGTAGTCACAGCAGTCGAAGAAGCACTTGGGGAGGAAAGGTTACACAAATTATTGCTACCAGGTATAACAGAGCTTATTAGTGATTCTCTACAATTAACATAGTTTAATTAAGTTATAGGTTTACCTTCAAGGATTTACGAAAAGTATGTACTGTATGGAGTTGAACATGTCCACTTTAATGTATGGTTCAAACTAAGAATGACACAGCAGCACTCTAAAACCATAGAATATACAGAATTATCCAAGAAGAATTAAAGCTGCTGTTGCTAATTCCAATCTAATGACATATATATGTGTGTAAAAATTGCAAATATCATTGAAAACTCTCTCACTGAAGACTATATCTGAAGTAAGCTGTGCATATGTACCTTGAGGCTTCACCGTCGCCTGTTCCGTATATCTTATCCTTTGAGTTCATAGAATATTATTAGTACTTATTCAGCACAGAAATAATTTCTTAAGTAAATCGATTATGAAGTGTAGAAAACAGAGTTGTAAACTCGATAAATATCCCTATCTACGTACTTCTCATTGGTACTACACAAACAATATTAATTTTATTACAGTCCTGAAAATGTTTATGATCGATAAGTCTTGCCAGGTAAAATGGTGAACATGACAATCTTCTATGTTGGCAGCAAATATTCTTTCTATCTGAATTTAATTTCTTCTAAGTTATATCCCCAATGACATACTGTTTTGCTATGGATCAATAAGAAGCAGAATATTTGTTCGAATATTTGCACTTAATACGCTGACCTTAAAACAGAATTTCTTCAATTCAAAAAAAAAAAAAGGTAACCAGGGAAATTAATTATGTGATATTGTCATCCTGTATAATTACGCATCAAATTTAACAAATATCTCAACAGATGGCAACATGTGTATTATTTCGTCTACAGTGTCCTGCGCCTCTGCTACGGGGCCAGTGTATCTTGCGTTGATGGAGGATTTTAACGTAGGCAGAGGATCACGAGAAATAAAAAAAAGAGAAAATCCCACGAAAAAAAGAGAACTAAATGTTCCGCCACGGACCACAAACCATTCGTAGAATTTGCTTCGATAGATATAAGTGATGGTATTAGCTGAAAATTCAGGATAGCTAAATTAGCGTCACAGCCGAAGCACTAGCAACTGGTAAAACACTAGAAGTCGTCGAAAAAACTAGACTCGGGGCAAAATTTCGTGATTTTCTCACACTTGGAAAGCGTGCTAAAAGGAATTAGTGACACATCTAGAATGAACAACACATCGCACATTACGCAAATACTTAAAAGACAAAATGGAAAGACTGGAATCGCTAAAGGGGAAGAATCCAATTTTATTAGATTCCGGGGCACTGTGGAATTGAAATTAAGGAGAGAACTGACTCGAAGGCAAAGCAATCGATCAAAGAAGGCAGAGATAGCCAACTGCTGTTACCAATGGCAGATCTTAAAGCGCAGCAAGAAAAGAAGGCAAAGAGGAGCTTCACAGTTTCCGTCAACACCATAAGGGGCAGAGGAGAAAGCTGCTTTGAAAGGCACTGCAGGAATGGCTCGTCTCCGTGGTTCCGACAAATAAAAATGAACTATCGTGCCTTCGTGTCAATACAGTATATGAGAGCAAGCCACTCCAGTCCTAAAGCAGGCTTAAGTAGATTTAACATTGTATCCATGGCTGAATACGAATGTGGTGACGGTCTGCAAACTGAGGAACATATCCTCTGGGACTGCAAACTGTAGGAAGACTAAAGGGCAACAATGATGCACGTTTTGTCTGAGAACAGCAAAAAGAGAAATACCCAAATTCAGTTACAGAGCTCTCAAGGCTAGAGAGAAAAATATTTGTGCAAGGCATCTGTTACTTCATAAACAGAATTCCTAATTTTATTTTCAGAAAGAGAAAAAGAAGTAAATGTACAAAATATGGGTATTAACAGTATACTCTTAAGAGTTAAGAGAATTACTCAAAAATCGCGGGGCGACCGCTGTGAATAAGTTTATAAGAATATGGCCATTGCTCAGACCTTTTTGTATATACATTTGTTGTTTCAACATAAAAAAACATTATACTACCATCTTCAAACGATTACGTTGGATGGCTAAAGACGATGGAAATTTATGTGGGATTGTCGATGTTTGAAGAGACAACAACGTAGTAAACTTCTATAATATTGTCACGTGCTTGGGCTAGCGTGGACATCGTTCGGATTGTTAATTGGTTTTATTAACAACCTACAAGTCCTAACTACAATTACTTACGATATTCTTGCTGATTTATACAATTCACAATCACTACACGCGAATCTTCTCATGACGAACTTTCCGTTGCTGTAACTCTTACTGCTTCTTAAACACACTCAAATACTCCCGAACAGTAACTGAGAACTGACGAATTCTGACTAACTTCTTCGACTGACTGACCAACTTCTGTTCTGCCGAATACTCACTCTGTTCTCTAGCTTCCGCATTGACCACCTAGAAAAAAAGCCTATATTGTTGGAACGTGTTTACTGAGCGATTGCCCAGCAGCGGACCCAATAGAAACCAGTTACGTGATAGCTACCACTGTTGCGTGACGTCGTGTTTACAGAGGCGTTGCTTGGCAACGCTGCCGAGAGCTGTTTAATGTTACGTAGCAACCAGCGCGGTTCGGCTAGGCTCAGAGAAACACCGCTTCCCTTATTGTTGCATAACTACGTTCCACTGTTGCGTAACTTGGCAACCGACCGTTTATCAAGAGTCTGTCTTCGTGGTACCTCGTTCCACATCCCGTTGCCCAACAACGGTTTGACATGTCACAATATTTATTGTCGCTATAGTCAAGTCAAGTAAAGTCAAAGTCACATTGCGACTGACGGTCGGTCAGTCAGTCAGTAAGTCTTGGTGTCGTGCCCCATCTGGGTGGGACTCATGACCAGATATTTATTACTGTTTGACAGTTACTGTCTTGTTTTTGTGGGGCGCTCTCTCTGACGAGAGGACGGGTCTGTCTTTTGCCAGAGTCACAGTCAGCAGTAATAAGTCTGTTGTCAGTAGGTACAATTTACAATTTACATGTTATTAAATATTTGTATGTGTATGTGTACAGGGCCTCTGTCAGTCAGGCTCAGTACAGCAGATAATGCCCTAACATTAGTAGTTCCTGCTACGTCTAGTCACTTGAACGGTCGCATGTGTGACCGCCGCCAAGTTTAAGCCTCCTATATTTCCTGGGTCGGGGTTCGCCTTGTCTAATGTTGCGAATATTTGCATTTTCGCGATTTTGTATGACTTCTGCTTGTTGCCTGCACAAGCTTGTTATATAATCATATAAGTATGGAAGTTTGAAAGCCATGTGCAAATCGCTAAACCGGTGTGTGCCTTGTAAAATTTTCAATGGTGCGGAAAACTTTTTTTGCAGGCGCTGCAATTTCAGTAGATGGTTGTCTGCCGCAAACTCCCAGGCCGGGGCAAGCTGCCCTTGCCAGCGCAGTCTTTCTCGGGTCCGAGTCCCTTGGGACTCGCGACAATATTTTACTCTCTCATATTTGAGACTTCCCTTTTCGTCGCCTTGTATGACTCGCAGTCATGGTGGAGGTACTCGACCACGCCTCCACATGAGGGAGTCTCTTTCTCCCTGTATCTTACACTTATAGAAAACATGTTCCCACAGCTACAACTGATTCCTGCAATGTGGCTGAGACTTAAGTTTTCACGGAGGTGGAAATTAACTTTGAAGTCTAAGTTTATGACATGTTTAGTGGTAAGTGGTTCACTGGAAGCTAATACCTCCATCTACGAGACACTTCTGTAGCGTCTAGGTCTTTAAGTTTCTCCTAAAATGAAGACATGAACGTGAAATAATAATAATAATAATAATGAAATAATACGTGGAGCACACGTATTAAAGATAAGCAATGACACACACAAAGAGAGCCTACACAGAACAATACCTGAACAGCGATAAAACAAGAAGTGGCCGCTGCAGCACTATAGACATAGGGCGTGTACCCCGAGAAAATTTTAATTTTTAAAAATTTGGAAAAAGAAAAAGAACAGAAAATTTATAGATATTTTAATTTGAATTGAAGTTTTAAAAAAGTGACAATTTTAGAAATCAAATTGATGCATGTAGGTTAAAAAAGATTTTATACATACATAAATTGGTAAGACTGGTGATTTTAAATTTTAAACTACGGGCAGCGTAGCAGCTACATAAGAATACACACCTAATGATGGCCATTTAGGGCCGAAACATGTAGTGTGGAGGAAGGGAAGAAGAAAGAACTACAATTAAATTGTTGCACTTAAGACGGAGTTTGTCTCATATATATTGTGAAATAATGGTTTTAAATATTCAGGGTGAGGTCCAAATTTTATTAATTAAGCAACTTGTATATTTCCCCCCCCCCCATATTGACCTAATCCTTCAAGCCGCACCATGGCCCTGGGGTGGACTCAGCTCAGCCTCTAACAGAAATGAGTACCACGAATCTTCCTGGGTGTGAAGGGCAGCCGGTGTGTAAGACTGGCAACCTCACCGCAATCTGTGAGCCGACTGTCTAGAAAATGTGTGAGCCTTGATATCTCACAACCCTATGGGCCTCCATGGCCTGTTACAGGAATAGGTTTACTTTATACCTTTCAAAATTCAACAAAACACATTTATTTCACTGTGCCATGTGACAAATTTAAATTATGAAGTTGAAGATTTCTGCCCAGTAAGAATATACAAGTTCTGACATGTTAGGTTAGTGGACTAATCAGACTTGAGTGCTGGAGACTTAAACTCAGATTTCTTTGAGTGCTTCTTCTGGAGAACTGTTACTACAGATTCAATTTAAAATGACTGAAAGTTAAGTGATACATTAAGAATGGCATGGTTTCAAGAAAAATCTGAAGACTTTTTGCCTTTTTATTTTCCCCTATTTCTTTATTTTTTAACTACGTGTATTATACTCCACTGTGTAAGTAATAATTTTAAAACCATTCCTTGTTCAATTTTACACATAAACTTATGACTTACATCATTGTGAAAGAATAAAGACACTGATTTTACGATAAGCATATCTTTCTTTTTTTTTTTTGTCCATGATTTAATGCTCCTTTTGCATGTGTGAAAATTTCTGTTATTGTTTTATTATTTAGTCACTACTTCAATCTCAAATTTTAAAGAGTATTTCACTAGCAAATGAAGCAACTACTCTGAACAGATACTACATCTAAGTGATAAGAATGATAGATATGAATTCTAACAAGAGATGAATTTCAAGACTACCAGCAAACTGATTTATTGATTGATTCTTGGTTTATTTAACACTTTCCATGCAGAGATTCTTGTCCAATTTAAAGTAAACAATTGTCAAAGGACATATATGTATGTGAGACTTGCTAAACATTACTCTCTTCTTGGATGTGATGCCATTCAGTCTGGTAGGTAGGTTACAATGGTTTGTTGGAACCTACTGCATCCATCTTCAGAGGAGAAGAGCCAGGAACCTGCTACCTCCATCTGTGAGTCTACATTACTTTCCTCTTATCAACACTGAATATATACTAAAGTCATAAGTTGGAATGATCATTAAATCCCAGGCTATATCATGGTTTTTAAGCATCTCAATAAACATAAAATTCCAGTAGT